CACACACACACACACACACACACACACACGCACACACACACACACACACAGACACACACACACACACACAGGGGATAGGAACAAAAGTGACCAACCTGAGTCGCCCATACCTCGACCCAACGGAGCATTGGACTCCGAGTACGGTGAGGGCACTGCCCTGCATGTGCCAACACCAAGCAGGTACCGGGCATAAGGTCCACCGTTTATTATACTACAGGCCCATATAGGCCCCCTTCTTCGCAATGGGCGCAACGATCCAGGCCGTCTGCGGTCCTACCAGCCCTGGGGTTCGGATCATCATGAGACCTTTAAGACTTTAAGATCGCGCGACTGAGCTGTCGGACGGCTTGGATCATTGCATGACGATCTGAACCGTCGGGCCGGTAGGACCACGCAAGTCCTAAGATCGAGTGACAATCCGAACTGTCCGGCCAGTAGAAATTCTCACATTATACATATATATATATATATATATATAGTTGAACAGATATATATATATTAGTTCAGCCTCGTGATAAGCCGGAGAAGCAGCAGTCTGTCACAGCCCCTCTGAAGAAGCAGTCTGTCACAACCCCTCCGAGGCAGCAGTCTGTCACAGCCCCTCCGAAGCAGCAGTCTGTCACAGACCCTCTGAAGAAGTAGTCTGTCACAGACCCTCTGAAGAAGCAGTCTGTCACAGACCCTCTGAAGAAGCAGTCTGTCACAGACCCTCTGAAGAAGCAGTCTGTCACAGCCCCTCTGAAGAAGCAGTCTGTCACAGCCCCTCTGAAGAAGCAGTCTGTCACAGCCCTTCTGAAGAAGCAGTCTGTCACAGCCCCTCCGGAGCAGCAGTCTGTCACAGCCAGTCCGGAGCAGCAGTCTGTCACAGCCAGTCCGGAGCAGCAGTCTGTCACAGACCCTCGTTTGACGGTGGGTCGCAGTGGGTGGAGTTGGAGCTGGAGCTGGGGGAAGACGTCAGGCGGCTGGAAGTTCCACAACCTCTCTCTCTCTCTCTCTCTCTCTCTCTCTCTCTCTCTCTCTCTCTCTCTCTCTCTCTCTCTCTCTCTCTCTCTCTCTCTCTCCCCTGATGGGTAAGGCTGGAATCTAACATACACCTAAAGTTGTACACGGTCATCTTCCCACAAACGTACCAAACCCTGATCAAGGACGCATACAGGCTCAATGTGGTTCAATACAGAAATGTCGAGGGCACTTCGTTTTTGTTCGGGGGAATACGATAGCACGCCCAACTCTTGTTTGCCCCTGACAACGAGCACCGCCATGGCGCAAGAGCACTCCCTAACCGATATAAAATGCACAAAGCCGTCGGAGTCGCATGCCAGTGCATCCACTTGCCACCAATTACTGGCCGCTGCATGCATGCTCATCTTTCCAAAGCCCAATCAGAAAACAGCAGCTACCCTGACGGCCAATACCCTCAACACAGTACGTCATTATACGTGCATTCAGCGACTTCCGTGCCAAATGCAGACATACAATATAATGATCAGCTGCTGCGTTCGGACAAAACACAGAAGATTGCTTCGGGCAATAGATATAATAACCGAGATGATTACTTAGCGGGACCAGGAGCCATTGCCAACCATGCACATTATCCACGGTCCAGAACCCGAATCCTAGAGAGCCCTTAACAGGCACGTACATAGTCTGTGGGCTAGCACTGCAGAAGAGGACATCATGTCCAGACCCTCGTGGCCGATCACGGCCTGTTCCCGTGCCAAGCAGCGAACAAGAGTGTTAGCGCCTCTGTGACCGCCCAGTGGATGAACAAGAGTAACGGCCAGAACACCGCCGCCAATGGGACCGCCAACACCGGTGGACCTTCCTGTTTTCTGGCTATCACATTAAGAGCTCCTGCTTGCACTCAACTCTGTGACTTTTGCGAACTGGCACAGCGAAATACTACAGCTTGCCGTCTTCAGCCCGCGCGCACGCTGCACGCTGCATGAGGTATTCCTCACAAGGGAGTTTTGCGGCTGCTTTCAGTGCCTATGCTACGATCATTGCTTCCCACCAGAACATAGCAATCTCTGCTCCTGCATTCCTCCGACCACAGGCAAGTCCCTCAGCGAAGCCGTTAACACCTGAAACGACAATTTCTACCTGTCTATCGAGACTAGCACGATACACACATTGACAGCAACAGTCGAATATGTCTGGGAAGGACCAGATGGATGATATTTCAGCTCAGCACAACGGAAACACAGCGCGTGCCTCGAAGGAACTATGGAGCTGACGACAGAGGAGAGAATATAAGCAGAAGCAATCGGAGGCGTCGAACACATTGCAAAGAAGAGAATGGCATGGAGATAACAGGTGGAAAAGGATCGTAGAGCGGGGTCAAGGTGCAGGGAGTAGAACACAGAATACACGTGACGAGATGAAGATCGTAGAGCGGGGTGACGAAGATCGTAGAGCAGGATCAAGGTGCAGGGAGCAGAACCACACATGACACACGGGGCGAGACAAAGGGCAGCAAGCACCGTGAGAAGGGACAGCACATGAGACGGAGACTAGAAGGCATGATGGTAGAATAACAAGAGACAAGTAGCACAGCAGGATGCACATCGTACAACACGAAGTCACCGAACAACAGAACACAAAGGACGAAACAACAGGGGGTCAAGGGAAGGAACATCAGGATTACGAGGTACGGGGCAACAAAAGGTAATGGAAGGGAACGACAGAAAACAAGGCATGGAAAAACAGGAAAGGGGCAACAGGAGCCACGGCGGACAAGACAACATGGTCCAGTACAATATAGAACAGTAGCAGAACACCAGCAAGGGGCTGGCAAGAAGGAGACCAACGGGCTGACGAGCGGCAGCAGGCATACATAAGATATAAAGAGCAGACGAGCAAAAGGTGAAGACGAAGAGGCAAGGGCAAACAAAGAGGAGCAGAGGAGACAAGAGGCAGACGGCAAGTACAAGAGCTCAAGGGTCCAAGCGTCAGAGAAGCGGCAGAAACAACTAGGAGAAGAATTTGAATACGCAGATCGAAGAAGTGGAAACAGCAAAAAAAGAGGATATACAGTAAGGACAAACAGAGAAGGGACAGAAGAGAAAGAAGAAGAGGAGACAAAACCAAAAAAAGGAGTGAACAAGGAACTCCAGGAGGACCCAAACCCCCAAGCCGAGCAGAGGAGAGACTGGGAAGATATGAGAGGACGAAGGAGGCAGGGTAAGTGGAAGACAGGGAGCTCGAACGGGGGAGCAAAGACGTGGGCCAAGCAGGGCTGCTGAGACGCCACACGGAACTACGGAGCGAAAAGCGCAAACAGGAGTCGAGTTTGGGGTGAGGGAGACGAGGAGGAATCGACCGCTCTGCCCGCTCTCTCCCAGGATGAATTTCCCGCCGGAACATCAAAATCTCTCTCCCAGGATGAATATTCCGCTGGAACACATCAAAACACATACCGCAAAAGGTAACAAAGATTCGACAACGCCTCACCCCCCGTACACCCCCCGCACAGAAGACACCCCTCACCCAAAAATGAAATGACGACGCCACGCCCACCATCACAATAGCCAACCGAGCTCACCTACCAATGGCCTTCCAACACCTCCGCCCCATTCCGACCACTCACACAACCGGGGCAAGGTCCCACTTGCACGGATTACGAGAATCTGGGCGTTGATCTTTGCTATCGACGGTCAATATCGCTTAATAATTCGTGTAAATGGGACCTAGCCCCCGGTCCGTCTCGTACCCGCGCCCGCACCCTTCCCACTTTTTGCAGAAGGCCAAAACGCCGCCGCCAAACCTTCATTGGACTGCACGACGTGATTACCGGAAATAGAAAGGCTCACAAAACGACAGAAAAACGCAACCACACGAAGGCGCAGCCTCCTGGCGCCGAACTGCCTCAGGAGAGGAGCACCTCTTTGCCTTCTTTCATCGACGGACAATGTTCTTGACTTGATCCGCTTGAGCAGGTCCAGCTTCTTTTCGCTTGCTTGCTGAGAATGAAACTCACTGTGCCTTTGCCTTCGCTACTGCGGCAGCAGCAGCCAGTCTCCCTGCGTTGCCCGCACGGCTGTAGTAGCCCTTCGATCTCTCGTACGCAAGGTCTGCCACACGATCTACATCAGTCTCGTACATCTCGTACAGCTTTGGCACCACAAATGACAGCAGCAGAAGCACGTAAAGAAGGGTGAAGAAGTCAAACCAAGCACCTATCTTGGCACCGATATACAGATACAGCATGGCTTTCAAGACCAGCTTCAGGTTGCCGCCCACAGCGAGACGATGAACGAACGCGAGAACATCGTTCGTCAAAGGACGGACATTTGTTGCTATTCTCTTCACCTCGTATTCCTTCAACAAGAGGAGAGGAAGAGTATCAGGCAGACGGTCCATGACATGTGTCGCATTCGTCAGGCTGACCATAAGCACGGTCGACATGAGTGAGACCAATGTCCAATTCGAGAAGAAGAAGAAGGCCCATACTAGAGTGTGGAAGAGTAAAACGGCCCCGCTGAGAAGGGCAGAGCGCCACAGCAAAAGATTGGCAAAGTTTCCCCCCCCAAGAATATCATGAACGCTGTTTTTTCCAAACAACAATCGAGTTAGTCTCGTCTTCGGCAGGCCTCGTGAAGCTGACGAGACCCCTGTGGACGACGACGATGCAGAGACTGGATGCTGTGGCTCTGGGCTCCTATTGCTTGGCATCGTCTCCGTTGATGTCGACGACACGTCATCCTCATCATTGACGTGTCCATTCATCATGGCAGGCTTTTTGTCAGAATAAAACTGTGAAACAGGTGGTGATGCCTTCGCACCTTCGATACAGGACACCTGGACTTGCTGCGTCTGGACTTGATCTCTTGGTCAGGTGCACAACGGCATCATGAGCCTCCTGCTGCTGTCAAAAAAGCTGCAGCTGGGGGGAGGTTGAGAAAAGACAGAGACAGAGATAGACCTGACGCAGTGAAGAACAAACACAATCACATGACACTGCACAGCTTTTGTCAGTTATAGTTGCCAGATGGTCCCAAATCAAACAGAAAACCAACCTATTAGAATAGAACATAACAAGACACCACCCATGCTGCAGCTGCTTCTTCTGCTCTCTCTCTCTCTCTCTCTCTCTCTCTCTCTCTCTCTCTCTCTCTCTCTCTCTCTCTCTCTCTCTCTCTTCTAAAGCCTTCGTTTCCATTAGGGAGAAGATGGGCCTGCTAACATAGGTGCCATATTAAACCACCAGTGCAAAAGCAAATTGAGCCTCTCCTAAGAAATACGAGACCACGAGCCGTCGATTCAGTTTATCAACGGTCCAAGGCTTCGGAAGTTTTCAGGAGACGGTCAAACTGCTTTTTTGGATGTACTGGTGATATAAAAAGAGTCCCAGTACAGCCTCTTTCTACGGCTTTGAAACCACCAGTGCTTCTCCAGGCTATTTTCTTCGATGAGGTAGGGTCCTACCCACCGCATTGAGATGGGTTCATCCTGGCGGACGAAAATGCCCCTGTGCTGGTCAGTGCGGTAAAGAAGGAAGATATGCCCCTGTGCTGGTCAGTGCTGCCTCACAACAGCAATTCCGCTCGGGAAAGAGAGGCTAAGACGTGCTGATGGCTATAAAGGAGAAGCACTTCACTAGCCCACTCAGGGCATAAAGGAGAAGCACTCACATTAGGACCTGTCTACTTATTTCGGAACGGAATTGCGGCCAGATGCATCAACATGCGGCCTTAAATGCAGTCAGATACATTAACGAGAGTGCTAGTGTGTGTACGCCCTCGAAACTCCAATTGGAAACGGCAAAACTAGCCCGCTCAAGCTTTCAAATGCACAAACAGGTCAGGTCAAATTCGAAGTACCTCCGATCTCTTTTTCCCCTCCACACCACGCCTTGCCTAAACGCCAGTGCAGTGCTTTTTCCTTTCTTTTTTTGGCTGGCAGCATTATCAGTGCAGTGTTTTTTTCCCCCCCCCCTTTTTTTTTGGCTGGGGGCATTATCAGTGCAGTGATTTTTTTTTTAATCTTTTTTTTGGCTGGCGGCATTATCAGTGCAGTGTTTTTTTCGTTTGTTTTGGCTGCGGGCATTATCAGTGCAGTGCTTTTTCTTTTTTTTTTTCGCTGGCGGCAATTATCCATTTTGATCACGTGGGCCCAAGCGTCCGAAACTTTCCGATTGATCGGATCCGATTCTCATGTTTGCCTGGGCAATGCACTGGCGCCTTTAATTGGACGATCTGAACGTAGACAGTCTGTAGACACAAATACACCAATAGGCTTTTTTCTTTGTTTTTTTAATAGGCAAATTCTGATGTTTTCCTTCCTTTCTTTTATCAGTTCCGAAAAAATAAAAAAAAGGAAACGTGTATTGTGAAGGGCTAGTTTTTACATTTTGAACAGGAACGTACTATTGTCTCTTTTGTCTCTAGTGTCTCCTCCACTCTTTGCATAGTTTTGACATTTTGAATAGGATCGTACTATTGTATCTATTGTCTCCTCCACTCTTTGCTTTTTGGGGGGAGATAGGACACAGAAAGGAGGAGGGAGGGAGGGAGGGAGGTAGAGAGGGAGAATGGCGTTGGCAGTGCCACTCTGCTGGTAATAAGAAATCTGATTGCTGAAGCACTGTCAAGAAAAGCAGCCCTCCGCACGACATGCAAAACAGAAAACAAACCGAGTGCATCTTCCCACAGAAGACGGCATGACACATAGTGACAAATGTATTTCGTCAACTTCTACAGACAGATTCACGCGTTTTCTTTCGTTGTGTTCCAGACGGCGGGCGAGGACAAATAACTAGCTGGGCATAGCAGACATGGGAGAGATGAAAAGAAAGCAAACCCGAGTGCATGCATCTTTCTTCTGAAAACAGATGAAATGCCACGAATGGTAACAAATGTATTTTGCATATTTCTTCAGGTACATTCACTCGTTCGTCTTTCATTTCATAGCAGACACGGCACACGAAACAGAAAACAAACCGATGGCAGATTAAATGACACAAAAGGTAGGAAACGCATCTTGCCACCTTCCGCGGGCAGATTCATTCATTTTTCGTTCATTTTGCATTCCCTGCGGCGGGGATCAATAACTACGCCGGGCATAGCAGAAAATGTACCTCAGCAGATAACGGATGCTTCTGCTATGCCCAGCGTAGTTATTGATCATTAGACGCCTCCAAAGAACTGAGAAGATTTGGGTGGGGAGAACAGAACGATACACGGATTACTATCCCTACTAGATGACCTGTTCCCCTCATCTTTCTCTCTCTCTCTCTCTCTCTCTCTCTCTCTCTCTCTCACACACACAAAAAA